TCTGTCAACTCTGTGGTTGGGCTCTGTGGCTGGGCCTTGTCCTCCTCCTGTCCTCCTCTTGGCCACGCCCCTGAACTCTGTCTCTGTCAACTTTGTGGCTGGGCTCTGTGGCTGGGCCTTGTCTTCCTCTTGGCCGCCCCTGAACTCTGTCAACTCTGTGGCTGGGCTGTGTGGCTGGGCTCTGTGTCCAGGCCTTGTCCTCTTCTCCTCCTCTTGGCGCCCCTGAACTCTGTCAACTCTGTGGTTGGGCTCTTGTCCTCCTCTTGGCCGCGCCCCTGAACTCTGTCAACTCTGTGGCTGGGCTCTGTGGCGCACGCTCTGACATACGCTCCAGAAACGCGTGCTCAGAGCGCGCTCTACAGAGAGAAAGACAGAGAAAGATAAACTTGAACAGAAAAAGAGAGAGAGAGAGAGAGTGAGTGAGAGAGAGAGAAAGAGAAAGAAAGAAAGAGAGAAAGAGAGAAAGAAAGAAAGAAAGAAAGAAAGAAAGAAAGAAAGAAAGAAAGAAAGCAAGAAAGAAAGAAAGAAAGAAAGAAAGACAGACAGACAGAAAGAAAGAAAGAAAGCAAGCAAGAAAGAAAGAAAGAAAGACAGACAGACAGACAGAAAGACAGAAAGAAAGAACGAACGAAAGAAAGAAAGAAAGCAGGGCGAGCGCGCGTGCGCTCATGTGCTATGGACGGCGCGCTCACGCTCCAGAAAGGCGCGCTTAGAGCGCGCTCTGCAGAGAGAAAAACAGAGAAAGACATAGTGTACCCCACTGGAAGTGGAACTGGAACTGGACCCCCCCCCGGAAAAAAGATTGGCAATCGCGTCCAGACTTGGACAGTTGGAACTGGAAGTGGAACTGGAACTGGAATTCCCCCCCCCCCGTAAAAAATCCGCCCGCGCCGGAGGTGCCGAGGGTGTTGTGTGGGCTTGTGTAAACATCGCAAGGAATCCGGTTAGATAAATCCTAAGCTTTAGCTTGGGGGGGGGCGCACTTTTCTCCGAGAAATGCTGTGTGTTTTCAATGTTTTGAAAATTGGGCCAGACGTTGGCGATGCCGGTTATGCTGGGACGGCTCGCGTTATCGACATCGCAGACGTCTCGGCAAAGATATGCCGATAAATAGTCAGATAGATAGACAGGTAGATAGACGGAGAGATAGCTAAATAGATACATAGTTTGATAAATAGATAAATAGATAGGTAGATAGACGGCAAGATAGCTGAATAGATGGATAGGCAGATAGATAGATAGATAGATAGGTAAATCCGCCCGCACCGTATAAATAGATAGATAGGTTTTAAAAAATAGATTGATAGATAGACAAATCAAAAATAGATAGATAGATAGATAGATAGATAAATAGATAGATAGCTAAATAGATAGATAGATAGATAAATAGATAGATAGATAGGTAGGTAGACGGAGAGATAGCTACATAGATAGGTAGGTAGATCAATATATAGATAGATAGATAGATAGATAGGTAGAAAGACAGAGAGATAGCTAAGTAGATAGACGGAGAGATAGCTAAATAGATAGATAGGTAGATAAATAGACAGATAGATACATAGGTAGATAGACGGAGAGATAGCTAAATAGATACATAGTTTGATAAATAGATAGATAGATAGATCGATAGATAGATCGATAGATAGATAGATAGGTAGATATTATGGACATCGCAGAAATTGCAAACGTCTAGGCAAACCGTGGGACACTGTACGATTGATATCGTGGATGTGTTCGGTCGTGTGCCCAGTCCGAATGGATGAGGTGAATGGTTGTGGTTTTTGATGCCCACACCATGCGCTCCGCCCACCCAGAACCATCGGATGGCCTGAATATTAACCTTTACGCCTTGAAACATAAACTCTCTCAAATGACTGCGATCTGTGCGGGCGGCTTCGACCGCGAAGCGGTGTGAATAATCGTCCACGCTAAACTGACGTTGGCAATCGCGTCCAGACCCGGGCCCAGAACTGGAACTGGAAGTGGAACTGGAACTCCACCCCCCCTGGAACTGGAACTCGAACTGGAACTGGAACCCCCCCCGGCAAAAAAAATCGACGCCGAAATGACGAGTTGGAACTGGAAGTGGAATTGGAACTGGAACTGGAACTCGAACTGGAACTGGACCCCCCCCCCGGGCAAAAAAATCGACGTCAAAATGACGAGTTGGAATTGGAACTGGAACTCGAACTGGAACTGGAACCACCCCCCCTGGCAAAAAAATCGACACCAAAATGACGAGTTAGAATTGGAAGTGGAACTGGAACTGGAACACCCGCCCCCCTCGAAAAAAGACAACAACACACCGGCATTTAACATCATTTAACTGACAGTGGCAATCACTTCCAGACTCGGACTCAGAACTGGAAGTGCAACTGGAATTGGAACTCGAAGTGGAACTGGAAGTGGAACTCCCCCTCCCCGAAAAGAGACATAGACTTTAAACTTTAAACTGACATTGCAATCGCCTCCAGACTCGGACCCAGAACTGGAAGTGGAACTGGAACTCCATCACCCCCCCGAAAAAGAAATTCGACATTCTCCTGAGATTGGCAATTGGAACCAGAACTGGAAGTAGAACTGGAATTGGAACTAGAAGTGGAACAGGAACTAGAACCGGAAGCGCAACTGGAACTTGAATTGGAACTAGAACGAGAACTACAACTGGACCACCCCATCCCGGAAAAATACCCGACACTGGTACGAAATTGGGAATTGGATCCAGACTTCGACCCTGGAAGTAGAACCGGAACCGCCCCCTCAAGAACAAACTGCAGAGAGCATGTGGACCACGGACGACATGCGTCGGCGTACAGATGTGCAGGTCTGCAGGACAGAGTTTGGGAAAGAGAGAGAGAGACACAAAAATCTGACGTGGGTGGATCAGAAGCAGTGTGCCCAAGATGACCAGGCCAACGAATCAAACCACACCAACCAGAACAGTCACTTGGTTTGCATGATTTGAACCGCGATCTATTTTTGCGAGAGAGTGCAATTTGAACTCAGCACGGTTCAAACGATTCTTAACATGGGGAATCAAACCCTGTGACTCTTACTATGAATAGCTCCTGCTTGCTTGGGAGAAACGCAATTTGAAGCGGCCGGCCATGCCATGCTTGGAGCCGTGGTGCTGTTGTTGCCGGGGAGCCGCTGCCCTCATGCGGCGACATTGGAGGTCAATCTTTTTGCTTGGGGTGGGCGACGGGCTTTGGATGCACCCTGGCTGCTGGTGGTGTGTTCGGGGACAACCTTGGGCTCCAGGGTATTGTTGCATTGTCTTGTCGGTATACGCGCAGGACGGCGACTGGTGGGTGTACCTCATCTCAGAGGGTGTCGCTGTACCCAAGTAGATGTGACAGACCGATCCTGCCAGGGAAGCTCTTTGTTTCATTCGTGATTCATGTGGTGTTTGTCTTCATTTTTGGAACCCCCCCCGGGTCCTGGAAGCGACGGTGCCGGGGCCTGCAAAAGCCTTGCTCTCTGCGGCGGGCAGGCCACGGTGTCCTAATGTACTTGGAGGTGGACCCACCCACGGTCAGCCGCTAGGGCTGCAGTACTCGCGAAGCGCAAGGCATCTACCCGTGCCGCGCTCGCGCCCGGAGTGGGTAGTGTTCCGATCGTGTCTACATACACTATCACCGGAGAGATGCTAGTGTCAGTGGAGTCGACTATATATGACGTGAGTTGTTTTCAAAATCGTCGTCATTTGCCTGGGCGTTGCGTCCAAGAGGTGATTTTGGGTGTTCCTCAGAAAACGCTACGGGGCGTCCAAAAAAAAAACCTTTCTATTGTTACATGCAGTCGTGCCTTCAGTTTGTTATGTCGTCCTGCTACAGCAACTCTTCTGAGCCTTTGGGGGCGGAAGGGCGTGACTTCACGAACTGGTTTGTTCTTGCAAGTGTCACAGGCAATTAGGGATTGTGATTGCTTCTGTTTGCCGGCTGTGTCCGGGCTCTTGCCTCATGGGCTGGCCCCAGCCCAGGTGCACGCCTTTGTCCGGCTGTCTGGGTTTGGACCGGCGTTGTGTTGTTGCAAGCAGGTTGACGCTTTCATCGCAAGCTCCTTGGACAGTGCCCCTGCCAAGGTGCAGGCAGGCTTGTGTCTCCCAGTGAAAGAGATCAGATCAGCAGACGAGCGGCTTGTGCTTGCTGGCGCACCCCTCCGTGCTGTTCTTCCTCACTAGACTGCAGAGCTCGTCACACACCCAGCGTTTGCAGGGGGTGCTCGCAGATCATGAACGATGACGAACAGGGATTCCTGTGTTTGTTGTGCGTCGGTGTTTGTGTTTTGTTTGTGATGATCCGTGACGTTCATTG